GTGAGTAATGCTTCACGAGGCAGCTCTTCCTTTCCTAAAGGTTTCATCCTGCACTTCAGAGCACAGCCAAATCCCTCCACTTCCTAAGGACGATATCCCAAACCCCTCTGCCTCCGCACAGGGGAATCTCCCTCCCTCCCATCCCAGCCAGAGCCAGGGAACTGGTACAATCCCTAATGTTGACACACTTAATGTTTGGTAACAACAGAGGGGAGAGAATCTGTTTATCTCAAACCCCATTTGGAGTGACATAAGACTATCACTTTTTTGGTTAAATACCAGAAAGAATATCAATTCTTTGGCTGATGTCAATCTCACCAGATCCATGGAGACTGACAGCTCCTGTTTCCTGGGCTGGGGAAGGAGGAGGAAGGGGGAGCTGCTTCCTCACAATTGGTTGACAAGCATGTTTCTTTCCATTGTGGTGGGGAACAAGCACCCAACCGTTGAGTGAGGGGCTCTGGAGACCTGATGTACTAGGTTTGGGTGCAAGGGTTGGTACCAGGAGGCTACAGGGTGGCTTCTGTGAGAAGCTGCGGGAAGCTTCCCCATATCCAACAGAGCTGATGCCAACGAGCTCCAAGCACCTTTGGGATAATGGATTTAAGAAGGAGAAAACTGCACGTACAGCTGGAGAGAGGAGTGAGAGCATTGAGAGGAGCAGCCCTGCAGAGACAAGGTGAGCGCAGGAGGAGGCAGGAGGTGCTCCAGGGCTTCCCCTGCAGCCCATGATGCTCCATGTGGAGCAGGGGAGCCCACGCTAACCCTGACCTTCCTGCTGCCTTCTCTTTGGGTAGGCTCTCAGAGGATCACAGTTCAGTGTGCTGATCCCATGGAGCAGCGTTCCCAACATTCCCATCCGGGCTCTCAGGGTTAACATGATCCCCCCAGACAGGTGCTGACCTCCTGATCCAGCTGGAGGAGAAATAACCCGGGATTAGAGCTGACAGAACTCTTCTATCAGAGCTGTGAAGTGATTCAGGGAAGCTTAAAGGGCTCATTTGTCTGAAGGAAAAGGCATGAAGGAAGGAAGCTGTCGCCTGGAGAAGGGGAAAAGGTGGGATTAAGGCAGAGAAGCTGGAGGGGAAGGGCTGGGAATCAGCCTCAACACTTCATGCCCTCGACGAGCAGGTACAAGGTGCCTGTTCCATGAGAGGTGGCATCGATGGAGCTGGCTTCTTCAGCAGGCACCTGAGGCTGCGCTCTCTGGTGGCTATGATGCAGGATGAGGTCTCTTCAGCCCTGCTCCATCCCTGGCAGTGTTCAAGGCAGGCTGGATGGGAACAGGAGGGAGACCCACTGCAATGTGCAGGAGGATGAATCGTTGAATGGTTTGGGTTGGAAGGGGCCTTAAATCCCATCCAGCTCCAACCCCTGCCATGGGCAGGGACCCCTTCCACTGGAGCAGCTTGCTCCAAGCCCCTGTGTCCAACCTGGCCTTGAGCACTGCCAGGGATGGGGCAGCCACAGCTTCTCTGGGCACCCTGTGCCAGCGCCTCAGCACCCTCACAGGGAAGAGCTTCCTCCTCGTTGCCAGGTACCCCTGTCCAAGCGCCATCAGCACAGACGCTGCTGTCAATAACTCACAAGTTTCTAGGAACAGCTTGAACAACTTTTATTTTTCCTTTAAAGTGCTTCAAACAGAAGAACAAGCTCTTTAGAAACATCGGTTGCAACGATTAAAACAGGAACCACTCGCAACCCGCTTCCTGCCTCCATCAAGTACAGGGAAACCAACGACTCCAACCCCCCCCCCGACGCTTCTCCCTCCCATTTTGGGGTGTTTTCCCACCCCACACGTTCACAACACGGAACACACGGAGGTTTCTTCCCAGACACAGCCTAAGGCCGTGCCCGCGCGTTGCTTCAGCACCCGCATCCCTTCAGGTTTGTTCCAGGTGAAGGATGTTCCTTCGCCGTTCTTCTGGCCCCCGGTTCCAGGCTGGAAGGGCCGGTCAAGGCATAAAGAAATCACTTGGCCAGAGTGTTTGAAGAGCAGCAAACACCCAGTTATGTGCTGGCAGCGAAAGCAGAGCTGGGAGCAAGAGCTCCCTGCCCAAGGCCTCGTGGAACAGCTTGAGCATGGAAAGAGCAAGACCAGAGGCAAACCCATAGAGCCACGTTATGGTTGTGCTTGAAATGGACCCAGGGACAGGCTGCTGCTGGGCCACCAAAACCCTGCCTGGGTTCAGTGAGCAGCAGAGCCGGAGTGCTCCCTCCATGGGTTTGCAAGGAACACGAGGAGATCTGGGACATGAGCAAGTGGGGAATGTTTCCCTGCTCCTGTTCCTCATCTTCCCCCTCTACAAGGAAACATCCAGGTCCTCAAACCATTTCCATCCGATCACTTAAGAGGTTTTAACAAAGCCATTACACAGACTCTGGCCTCAGCGCTGTTGCGTGTGGCCACTTACGTATGCAGAGAGTGAACTGCGCTGGGGGGAAGAAACCTGTCTGCAGGACAGCAGAGCGGAGGAACAGAGAACGAAGACAGAACAGCTTCAAGACACCTTTTCCTAAGCACAAGTGCCAAGGTCCCCGTGCAGAGCCCCACCGTGGCCTCTGGAGATGCTCTGCTGTCACCAAGCCACCGTGAGGGTGCTTTAACATCCCCTCGATGGCAGCAGAAGGCAGTTTGGGGACCGTGCTGCTCGGAGGGAGGTGTCAGATATTGCTGACAGGGCCCAGTACAGCCCTGCTGAGAAGAACTTTATATATTCAAGTGCAAAACATTCAAGCTTTGGAGGAGAGAAAAGGCCGAGCTAAGGCAGAAGGGGAACGTGCTCAAGAGGAAGGGAAAAGGTGCAGTTCGCTCCTTATCAACATTGGCACTTGTGTGTGGGGAGCACCTACAATGCAGAAGTCCTGGGAAGCAGATGTATGGGGAGGGAGCAGGGAGCCAGTGTGAGAATCCAGCTCTGGTTTCCCTTTCCTCATTCCCAACTGACATAAACCTTCTCTGCTCAGCATCGCTGAGGCTTCTCCCAACCCTTCTGCCCATTCCATGGTGCTCTCCTGCTGCTGGGCTGGATTCTACCTGTGCTCACCTCCTCCCTGCTTGCTTTCAGGTCAAATGGGGAGCTTCTCCATGAGAGGAACCCCCAGAAAGGGATTCGAGTTCTCAGGCCATGGGTCCTCTTGATGACACAGGCAGAGAGAGGCTTCGGGTGCTTCCTACATTGGGAGAAACACTTTCCCTTGGACCCTCATGTCTTAAACCAGAAGAAAAGGCCCTGCACAAGGGCAGAAGAAGCATAAAGACATGGGGGGAGAAGTGCAAAAGCCCAGATTGCTTCCTCCTAGGGCCCCAAGCCAGTAGGGAATCAGGTAGGAATGAGGCTCGTGGTCGGTATCTTCCCAGCTAACACATCCTCCTCCTTGTATGATGGGCTCCAAGGTAGAGATGACCATGACAGTGACACCAAACCTCCTTCCTCCTGCCAGCTCTCATCCCAACAGCCTGTTTCTCCCACCTCAGACTTCGAGCACGACCTAACACTGTCTTTATCCAGCTGTAGTTTGTCTTGGAATGCTTGGCCTGCTCTTCCCCCAGTGTCACCTCTTCCTACCTGCTGCCCCTGCAGAGCTCCTGCCAAAGCACCCACACACAGGGGTGGGATGGCTCTGCTGCCTGCACTTAAACTCACCTCGCTCAGATGAGCTGGCAGCAGAGGGAAAGCTGCCCGAGATGGGATGTGCTGGGCTGAGAATGGGATCTCAGAGCCTGCTACTGTCCTACTGCGAAAGGCACGGTTTCTCCACGGCGTGGTATAACTGGAAGGAATTGAGGAAAGAATAAGAAGGATTTGAAGGGATCTGGTAAGTCTGGGAGAGGTACAGGAGGGAGAAGGAGCCTCACACGTCCTCACACTGACCCTCTGCCTGCATGGGCACCTTCTCCAGCCAAAGGCCTGGCAGAACAAGAGGAGCAACATCCTTTCTAGAGCCTTTCCCAGCATCGCCCAGTCCTCCAGTGCAGCCAGGAGCATCACCCACCAGCCTCAGGCCAATGTCCTTATGGCCACTCATAAGTCACCAACAAGAAGCATTTAAGTGCTTTGGGTGAGCCCAGGCCACCAGAGACTGACACCAGAGCATGGATGTGGTACAACCCGAGGTGTCTGGTGCCAGCACTGGCTTGAAGGAGCCCTGTGGTGGGTGATGACTGACCTGCCAGTGAGGGCTGGATGCACGCCTGACCTCCCAGGGTGTCATGCACAGAGGTGGTGGGTGCTCAGACACCCATCTCCACACATGAGCTTCAGTCCTAGTGGTGTTTCCTGCTGCACTGAGAAAGACAACACCAAGCCAGCGGTGGGGCAGGTGGTGGAAGGTGATTCCTGTGCACGCAGGGAGTTTTGAGCTGAGGAACTGAGGCAGCATCACACAGCAAAGGAACCAACACCACCCATGGCTGGGCAGTGACATTGGCTTGAGGCCTTTATGGCCTCCACCTCCAGCAGCATCTCCCATATGGTTGGGTACTGGCATACTGGAGCCAGCTCTTCAGATGGAGACTCTTCATTTGGGGTACAAGAGGAAGAGAAAGAGGTGTCCAACAGTAGCTCCTTCCCCTCATTGCCTATGTGCTGGTAAAGCCTAACTAAGCTTAAGCATCCTGATGTTCAACCAGTTGAACACCATCCATCAGCCAGCATACAGCACTTCAGAGAAGAGATATGGAAGTGTGTGGGCAGAAGAGCAGCAGCAGCAGGAGGAAGACATGGGCAAGGTGGTTGGTTTCCAGCTCTCAAATGCCCATGGACCACTTAAAGCATTGGCAGATGAGCGCCTGAGAAGATGCTGCTCGGTCACAACAACAGGAACCTAAGGAGGCATCAGCCTCATGGGGAGGGCTCAGCTCCTCCCCATAGGGTGGGTGACAGCCCATCACCCTATAGCTCCCTGGAGCCAGAGCTGGGATAAGCTTGGGCTGGGAAGGAGCAGATAACCTTTGGCAAACAGAAGCCACTGGAGCCCTCTTGGAAGAGGAGGGGGAGTGCAGGGATGCTCGCAGCGTGTTTATTGGAGGAGTGCTGGTCTCTGGGGAGAGGTTACTTGGTCTTGTTTTCTCCCAGTGGGATCTGGAGGAGCGTTGGAGACTGCTCCATGATGCGGACCAGCAGCTGGTCAATGTAGTTCTCCAGTTCATGGATGTGCTCCTCCTTCTTGCTCAGCTCCTTCTCCTTCTGCAGCAGGAGCTCGATGAGTTCATCGTGGGTCAAGTGATAATACTTGGCTGCCTGGTCCAGAACGGTGGGATCCTGTGGCAGGAACCAAGAGGAACAGTCAGTGAGTCATAGAATCGTATCATGGAATGGTTTGGGTTGGAAGGGGCCTTAAGTCAAACAAAACCCAACAGTTAAAAGCTAAAGGTGGGAGCACAACAGAGCCCATTCCCTTGGTACGAGACCTGCCATCAGCTATCGCCCTTCTGGGGCTTCCACCCTCCCCAGTCCTCCAGCAGCAGGAAAAGAGAATTAGGAGCTGAAAAACCCCTTCAGGAGCTCCCAGAGGACGAGAGCTCCAAGGGATCCAGGTTTCCAGACAGGCTGGAGCAGCACAGGGGAGCAGGACCCAGACATCACATCCCAGATAAGGTGAGATGCTCCTAACCCATAACATGAACTACCTGTGGAACCAGAAAGGGCTTTCTGGGCACAGAGGCTGTACTTGTCCTTCCACTCAGGGGAGCCCCAGCAGCAGCATTTTACAGGGCAGGTTGGGGATGCAAACAGAGCAGCAGTGGAGAAGGAGGACAGGAAAGGAGGAGAAGGCACCCCCTGACACTGTGCCCTCAGGCATCCCACATGGGTGTTTTCCCTGCCTCACCATGCCAGTGTATGGGATACAGAGGCAAGAGGCAGGAGCAAGGCTCCAGGAAGAACTTTCCCATCTGCCTTCAGGACTTTCATCAAGCACTAATCCCATCCCATCCCATCCCATCCCATCCCATCCCATCCCATCCCATCCCATGCCATTAGGGACTGTAGTGGTAGGACAAGGGGTAATGGGTTCAAACTGAAACAGGGAAAGTTTAGATTGGATATAAGGAGGAAATTCTTTCCTGTGAGGGTGGTGAGGCACTGGAATGGGTGCCCAGGGAGGTTGTGAATGCTCCATCCCTGGCAGTGTTCAAGGCCAGGTTGGACAGAGCCTTGGGTGCCATGGTTTAGTGTGAGGTGTCCCTGCCCATGGCAGGGGATTGGAACTGGATGATCTTAAGGTCCTTTCCAACCCTAACTGTTCTGTGATTCTATGATCCTCTCATCTTTGTGGATAACCTGGCATTGGCTCACACCCTGTACAACATAAACCCCAATCCAAAGCAAGCAATGGGAGAACAAGAGGGTGAGAAGGCCCAGAGACCAAGCCATAGAGGAAGGCAACCAGGACTGAGGGCATCAGGGTTAACACACATGGCTCTGCCCCCGCTGTGACAGGACCCAGTTGTACCTCCTCTGTCATAGACTCATAGAATCATAGAATGGTTAGGGTTGGAAAGGACCTTAAGATCATCCAGTTCCAACCCCCCTGCCATGGGCAGGGACACCTCACTCTAAACCATCTCACCCAAGGCTCTGTCCAACCTGGCCTTGAACACTGCCAGGGATGGAGCATTCACAACCTCCCTGGGCAACCCATTCCAGTGCCTCACCACCCTTACAGGAAAGAACTTCTTCCTTATATCCAATCTAAACTTCCCCTGTTTAAGTTTTAACCCATTACCCCTTGTCCTGTCACTACAGTCCCTAATGAAGAGTCCATCCCCAGCATCCCTATAGGCCCCCTTCAGATACTGGAAGCTGCTCTGAGGTCTCCACGCAGCCTTCTCTTCTCCAGGCTGAACAGCCCCAACTTTCTCAGCCTATCTCCATACAGGAGGTGCTCCAGCCCCTGATCATCCTCGTGGCCTCCTCTGGACTTGTTCCAACAGATCCATGTCCTTTTTATGTTGAGGACACCAGAACTGCACACAATGCTCCAGGTGAGGTCTCACGAGAGCAGAATAAAGGGGCAGGATCACCTCCTGTCCCCAGCTCCATAACACCTGGAGGAGGTGGGAACGCAGCTCTCACCTCAGAGGGATGTTCCTACCTTTAACTGCTTGGAGTCTGCCTTCTCCGAGTGAGAGGAGGGGGCCACAGGCTGGACACTGCTCGTGGTGGCTGTCTTCAGCTTCTCGAGCCCATTGCTCAGAGCAGCCGTCAGGCTGGACCTGTGCTGCTGCTTCTTCTCACTGGGGCCCTCCTGCACCGCAGCGCTGATGGGTTTCACTGGGTGAGGACTGAGGAGAACAAGGAGGTTGGACAGTTAAACCCCCCCGGATGGGGAGCAACACTGAGCTCTCCATGGGGTTCTTCACAGCCTGGTTTGGTTTCGAAGGGAGCTTAAAGCCCCTCCAGCTCCAACCCCTGCCACAGGCAGGGACCCCTTCCACTGGAGCAGCTTGCTCCAAGCCCCTGTGTCCAACCTGGCCTTGAACACTGCCAGGGATGGGGCAGCCGCAGTTATTATGGGGATGGGACCCACTTACGACATTTGGTGAGCTCCACACAGCTCAGCTGCTCTCCAGCACCATTTCCACCCAGAGGTGAGATAAGCAGCCCCAGAACCTGTGTGTTTGGCTGAGATAGGGAACAGATCCCCATGCCCACACCTCTGCTGTTCAGCCTGCACTGAGTCCTGTGGGTCAAAACTCCCACCAGGCACTGGTGCCATAGGGGAAGCTCAACCCAGGTCCAGTGCCATCAGAGGCTGCTACATCCACTGCCCAGAGGGGGGGGTTGGGGCCCAGGAGCCCCCAGGTTAGAGTCTGGGGTCACCAGTGATGCTTCAGGGATGCTCCTGAACTGCCCCAGCCCAAGAGCTGGACTCCACCTGCCTGGAGACACCACTGAATTTGTCCCCTTAAACCAGCCAAGAGTGAGGAGCCCGTGTCTGAGGGCACCTTCTCTGCCACCGCAGAAGGAATTACAGCTTCACTTATTTTGGCCTCATTTTTCACCCAGAAGATTGTTTCTGGACTTAATCCAAGTCCTTTTGCTTTTCAGTGTGATGGAAAGAGAAGTGACCTGATGCTATTGTCCTGCAAGGAATACACAGACCTCAGGGTGAACCATAGAAGAGAATCATGGAATCAACCAGGCTGGAAAAGCCCTTTCAGCTCCTCCAGTCCAACCATTCCCAGCACTGCCAAGGCCACCACTAACCCATGGCACTGAGGCCTCGTCTCCACACTGTGTGAACACTTGCAGGGACAGTGCCTGCAGCCCTGCCCTGGGCAGCCTGTTCCAATGCCTGAGCACCCTCTGGGGCAGGAATTGGTCCTCAGCTCCATCTAAACCTGCCCTGGTGCAGCTTGAGGCCGGTTCCTCTTGTCCCATCCCTTGTTCCTTGGGAGCAGAGCCCAGCCCCTCCTGGCTCCATCCTCCTCTCAGGCACTTGGAGGCAGCCATCAGGTCCCCCCTGAGCCTTCTCTTCTCCACACTGAACCCCCCAGGTCCCTCAGCCCTTCCCCATCACACTTGGGCTCCAGGCCCTGCTCCAGCTCCATTGTAAATCCACCAAGAGCACTGCAAAGCCTCTGCTCCCACCAGATGCAGCAGCACAGGGATAACCCCCAGTGTTGGGCATCCAAAGTGCTGCAGGAGAAGGGGAACCTCAGCAAGGTGAGCAAATGCAGCGTGTCTTTACAATGGGGACGTCAGGGGGTTGGTAGGATGGGCTGGAGGAGGACTGACACCCACAGTGATGGTGTGAGCTGGGACTGACACCCCTCAAGTCCAGCTTGTGCTCAATGTGCTCTGAAGGCTTCCAACCCTGTTCCAGGACTGAGATGACGCCTCTGTCCCAGCCTCACTCATCACATGAGGCATAAGATGGGTGGCCCAAGTCCTCGAGGCTGGTGCCTTCATGCCATGTCAATGGTGATGGGATCAGGACGTATCAAGCAGTCTCCTTGTGCTGACAGGGCACGTCTGAAGTCTTCTTCAACCACGATGCTCCTGCCATCCATTTGCTATGAGAGGACAGCAGTGGTAGCCACTGACCAGCTCCACAAGCCAAAGGATCGTCCTTGTCACACCTTGTCAGAGCTGTCCAAGCACATGGACAGAGCCACGGCTCCAAAGCAGCATGGAAGGATGGAGAGGGATCCCATGAACCACTGTGGGAACAATCCTGTTCCTCAGAACACATGGTTCAGGAAGGAGACCAGTGAGGGAACTACTCATCCCAGCCAGATGTGAACGCAAGCAGCTCCAAATGCCATGATACAATCCCAGCCTGGTTTGGGTTGGGAGGGGCCTTAAATCCCATCCAGCTCCAACCCCTGCCATGGGCAGGGACCCCTTCCACTGGAGCAGCTTGCTCCAAGCCCCTGTGTCCAACCTGGCCTTGAGCACTGCCAGGGATGGGGCAGCCACAGCTTCTCTGGGCACCCTGTGCCAGCGCCTCAGCACCCTCACAGGGAAGAGCTTCTGCCTAAGAGCTCAGCTCAGTCTCCCCTCGGGCAGGTTCAAGCCATTCCCCTTGGCCTGTCCCTACAGGCCCTTGTCCCAAGCCCCTCTCCAGCTTTCCTGCAGCCCCTTTAGGCACTGGAGCTGCTCTAAGGTCTCCCCTTCAGGAGCCTTCTCTTCTCCAGGCTGCCCCAGCCCAGCTCTCTCAGCCTGGCTCCAGAGCAGAGGAAGGCCCAAAGCAGCATCTGCCTGTCTCACACCTCCGACATTCCCAATCCTGCCTCTTACAAGTGCCATAGGATGCTGCCTCAGTCACACACCAGTTCCCCATCACTTAAGCAGCTGCCCAACTGCTCCAAGGCATTGGAGTCCCCAGTGCACTGCCATGGGCTGTCCTTCAGGTCCCACCTGTACCAGTGACACCTTCCCAGTGGTGAAGGCACCATCCCTCCGCTCCCCAAAGAGCAGAAAGGGGATCCCCCACACCCCCGAGTGCTGCAGCGATGCTCTGAGCACCCCCATCCACCCAGCAGCCACACTTCCATGGTGGGAGCCCCCCTCACCGCAGGGCCTGCACACACAATCCCACCGCAGGCTCTTCCCGATGCTGATTTCCCTGGCTCCATCCTCAAATCCAGCCCCCAGGAGCTGTTCCAGGCCCCCAGCTCCCTGTGCCCAGGCCATGGGGCACCCAAAGCAGGCAGGAGCTGCTGTTATCACTCAGATACACAAGCCTACCACTTGACTTGCCACCTTGGGAGCCCTCTGGCCACCTGGGGAGAGGACTGGGACCCTGCAGGAGCTTCCATCCCTCCAAAGGAGTGCATGTACCCCCAGCACACCAGATTCCCAACAATCCACACCAGCTATCCGTACCAATCCAGGTACCAGCTCCTCTATCTCACTTTTGTCCCAGCTGAGCCTCAGTGTCCATTCTAAGTCTTCCTTTTCTCCTTCCACCTTATTTCTACCATATCTTTTGCCTACGTTGCCACTGAGCATCTTACTAAGGAGCTTCCTTAAGGAAAGGCAAACCTGGAAAAGGGCCCTTCCCGCTTTCCTCTCTCCCCTATGACAATGGGTCACCTCTCCCCAGCCTTAGGAAGCAGTGCAGAACCTGAGCCTTCCACAGGGACTGCAGTGACTCCTCAAAGGTGCCTCCTTCAAAGGTTCTTCAGTCCCAGCAGCAAGAATCCAAACCTTCCATGGTTTACAGGCAGAGCAACCAGAGCAGAGATGCTCCAGGCCTCCTCAGACCGGCACCAGGACAGAGGCCAGCACTGACACAAGGACCCCTTTCCTCCCACGAGACAGTGAGGACTTGGATGGCTGCAGTCATCCCCAAGGATGACCGTGAGCATGTACCAGCATGTACCAGCATGTACCATCATGTACCATCAGGTACCATCATGTACCACCATGTACCATCATGTACCATCATGTACCATCATGTACCATCATGTACCATCATGTACCATCATGTACCACCATGTACCACCATGTACCATCATGTACCATCATGTACCATCCACACGGACTGCCCTGGGACTGCACTCGTTGCCTCAATGTACCCTTTGGGATTGCAGGACACTTCTCTTTCCATCTCTACCCACAAACTGTGACCAAGGTTATCTGCTGGGGGATGAACAATCCAATTAGGAATGATTTGAGGATCTGGCCTCCATGAAGGGGTAAAATCCCAAACCAGCTCCCAGCCCCAGCTCCTGCTGCTCTTTGCTCCCGAGGACATCAAATCCCCACTCGAGCCAAGGAGGGATCCCCATGCAGAAGGACTGGAGCTCAGCTACTTTCTGCTGTGCCCATCTCCTGCCTCCCTCCCCAGCCCCATGACCAGCCCTGCTCTTGGGCTCGGGGGGGGTTTATCATCCCAGTGCCCCCATCAAGCTCCATTTGCCTCTGCAGCAGAAGTGAGGCCGACCAAATGAATCCCTGCCACAAGACCCATGCAGGTCCCCATGGAAACCACACGAGCTTGCTCCCTGATGCTCTGTGCAGAGCCCATCACCATCTTCTGCCCAGGCAGACCAGGGGAAGGTGCCCCAAGAGAACTTGAGGAACTGAAGGACACTGCAAGAGTCCTCGCCCTCAACTCAGCATCTTCCTCATGGCATTTCTACAGCCCAAAGCTGACCCAGGAGGAGGGAGACCCCCTTCTTTAATGATGCACTACCACAATACCCCCCTTCCCATTCCCATTATCCTTAAGGCTAAATCCCTTGGCTTCATAACCAATGGGCATCTCTGCAGGAGGAAGGGGAGATCAGCACCTGCCACCGCCCTGGTGACACCGCTTTTGGCTATGGAAGGAAGAAGGTTTTTAGTCCCTGATGGTCGTTTAAAAAGGAAAGAAACCAAAGCTGAATGAGAAGGGAAGGGGCAGGAGCTGTGCACATGCCATGAAGGAACTCATGAGAGCATTAACAGCTGGAGGCTCTCCTGGCAGGCATGGGAAAGGCACCTACTGCAAGCACAGGGAAGATGATGGAGCCAAACTTAGCATCGAGTGCAATGCGGATGCAATTCTGCTGCGTTTTCAGCTGGGGCAGGTCTTGGATGCATCAAACCCTTTACCCTGCATCAGGGCAAACACAGGACACCAGCGCCCGTTCCTCGTGACCCAAGAAAGCCAAAGCTTCAAAGCTGCTCAAGCTTGGACTCTCTGGGACCACGGGAAGGTGAGGGAAGAGTCCCTGCAGCAACACCACACGGAGCATCCTCCTTGGAGGCGGCTGCTGAGGGATCCACTTACCAACCCCGTTGCTAAGAGGGGATGGGAGCCAGGGTTCACGCCTACCAACCACAACATCCCTTCGCCTTCCCCGGAATGCTCACCTGGAGATCTGCTGGAAAAGGGGCTTCTCAGCTGGCTGTGTCTCCCTGGGCAAAACCAGGAGCGCTGAAGCTTGTGTGTCCCCGGGCTGTGGCATAGGGCAGGGCTGGGCGGCTGCGCGGCTGGTGGCGGCAGGGCAGGGGCAAGGGAAGTCAAACTGCTCTGGGTTAGTTGCAGCCACGAGGAAAGGGGTGGAGAAGGCCAAGGGCTGGTGGTCATGCAGGAAGGGTTGGCCTAGCGCGTCCCCGGGGAGGTGAGTGGGGAAGCCTGGCCCAAGAGCTTCCTCTTGGAGGCTGGAGAAGCTGGAGCCTCCCTGAGCAAACCTTTTGGGCAGCACAGCTTGAACAGGGACAGGCTCTGGTGGCTTCTCCACAAAGGGGTTGGTTGGGGGGTTGGGGCTGAGGGCTGGAGCAAAGGGGTTCCTCGGGGTTGAAGCATCCTCTTTGTGCCTCTCCTCTGCCCCTGCTGCCTTCCAGAAATCAGCCTTCTTGAAGTCTATCCCGGGCTCGCTGCTTGTGGGGCTGCCCTGCTCTGCCTCCCGGGGAGGAACAGCCACTGCCATGGGCTCAGCCCGGCCTCCTGCTGGCCCCATGGGGCCGGCCACCAGCTCCTGCTGCCCCTCACCATCACCCTGCACCGGCTCTGGCTGCGGTGGGCTCTCCCCATGCGCTAACCTTTGGGGTCGTGGTGCTGAGCTGAGACCCACAGGGTGACCGGATGCTTCCTGCTCTTCCAGAGCTGTCCAGAAGGTTTCCTGCTGGGCCAGGTCTAGCTTGGAAGGTGGGTTTAGTCTTGATGTACTGAGGTCCTCAGGGAATGGCTCCTGGTTGGAGGCCGTCCCCCACTCGGTCCCCATCAGAGGGGATAAACCTGACTGGCCTAATCCATCCAGGGAGAACTCTGACGGGCAGGTCTCGAAGTGCTCAGCTGCATGTGTCTCATTCACCTCTGATGGCTCTTCCCTCAAAGAGGCGGCCCCTTCTGCCAGCTCGTGAGCCCTCACCTCCAAATGAGCTGCTGAGTCCACAGGGGCAGATTCCCCATCTTTGGAGACCGGGAACTTGCTCCCAGCTACATCCACTCCCACTGTGGGAGATGCGGGGCCAGAGGGCTCGCTGCTCACACAGCTCCTCGGCAGCTCCACCTCTGCCTTTGGGCCCTCCGCCTCTTCCCGTTGCTCCTCACCCCCTCGCTGTGGGTTGCAAGCATCTTCCTCCTCTCCATCCCCTCCACCTCCCACGGCTGCGAACCACCTCGGCGGTTTGGGGGGGGGCGCAGTGGAGCTGGCCACCATCTCCTTCTCTTGGCTACCTGGCCATGGGGAGAGGACAACCTGAACGTCCCGAGCGTCAGAGCCGAGCCTCACGCGGCTGTCGCTGGCCTCCAGCCTCATGCTGGCCTGGAGCCGGTACACCGATGTCCGGATGTCGAAGGCGTCCTCCTCACCCCCAGCACCCGGAGGCTCCATCCCGGGCTCGGGGACCACAGGGAACCGCCGTGGGGCCACGTCTGGGAGCACCCGCGGGGGCACGGCCACCACGTTGCTGCCTGGCAGGGGCTGGGAGGGCGGCTCGGGGCTGAAGGTGCTGCTGGGCAGCAGGCGAGCGGCGCGGGAGCTGCTCTTGGCCTCGAAGGTGCCCTCGCTGAGGAAGGCCGGACGGGAGCTGAAGGTGCTCTCCTGCCCTGCCCCGCTCTGGCTGCTCTCGGATGGGTCAGGGCTGGTTTCGGTGGCTATGGTCATCCAGCCGTTTGTCCCTGCGCTAGAGGGGTCCTCCTCATTGCTGTCCCCTTCCTCCCTAACGCTGCTGGGAGCGCTCAGTGCTGTCGAAGCCTCTTTCTCCCCTGGGTTTCCCGATGCAAACGTGGTCGTCCAGACGGTAGGAGTGCTGCTTTTCCTCCTCCTCCCCATCGACCCCACAGCCACAGGGCTCAACACGTCCTCTATCACGGTGGCTTCCTGGGTTGTGCTCACCAGGTTTGCCCCCACGTCCAACCCCGAGAAGTTGGTCCAAGCCCGTAGAGCCGCGGGTATTTCAGTGCTGATCTGCGCCTCCGCCTTTTCAAACACCTTTGTCCCCTTCTCCTGCGGTGCCTCCACGGATCTCTCTGTGGGGCTGACGGCACCGGGATCATCGATGAAAGCCATGCCCTCCGCTGCCACCGAGGCAAAGAAGTTCTCCTTCTTCAGCTCCGGTTTGAGCCTGCTGGTGGCAAAGGCATCGAAGGTCTCGTCCCACTCCGAGAGGGGAGGAGGCACCGCGGGTACCTTGTCCGGAGGAGGAGGAAGGGCTCCTTGTGATGGGGGAGTTGTTTCAGGAACGGGGACACCAACGCTTGGGGCTGGAGACTCCCTCTCTGGGTCTTTATGTCTTAGGGAGGCAGAGGGACTGGAATCCTCAGAGGAATAAAAGCTCCCAGCGACCTCTGGAGCAGCGCGCGGCCCAGCCGGGAAACTAGAGAGAAAGTGAGTAGGTGAAGGAGAATTTAGTACCTGGTCAGCGAGGAGGTCCTCAAAGAAGGGATTGCTCTGCAGGGAGCTGAGGAATGGGTTGGTAGGGGACAAGCATCCGGATTGACCGTCTCCAAGAGCGGGAGAGAGGTTAGTGCTTGGCATGCTAGCGAGATGGGCTACGGCAGCAGGAGGAAACTGGGCAGGGGAGCAGGGAGGAAAAGGAGAAGGAGCATCTGAGCTGGTTTCTACCTGAGGAGACACTTCCAGGCTGTGGAGGGAAGACAAAAGAGTCCTCCTGGTTAATGCTGTGACAGAGCTGTAAGCACACACCACACACACTCCAAAGCAATGCAATGATCAAATACGTTCTCGTCTCTCCGGTTAGGCAGAGCAATGGTGATGGAGTCAAGGCATGGAGAGGGCATGCACGACACACAGGAGAGGGCAGCCCTTCTTCTAGAACGTCCTCTGCACTTCCCCTTCCTACCTCAGCAAGCCCCAGCGCTCAGGAGCCAAGAGGTTTCCCCCTCTCCTGCAGCCCAAGCACTGGGCTCAGGGGTTTTGCTGTGTACCAAGGGCAGGTTGAGCACAAGGAGCCAGGCTGGGCTCTTGGATTGGGGTTATTGAGCCAGGAGGAGCACCCAGGAGTGAGTCTTTCCCAGCTTATCCCAGTGCTTCATCACCTGTCTGCCAGCACGTCAGGGTGACAGCAGACGTGGTGCTCCCTCTGCCATGGGAGGGAGGGGAGGGCAACCAAGCAGGAGGGAGCACATGGCCAAGATGCGGCCCTGGATCCGCTCCTGACTCTGCCCAGTGTCCCCACATCCCCTTCATCCCATCACTTCGGGCCTGAAACCCCACGCAGGACCCCAAGGAGGAGGAAGGGATCCAGCACACATCAGATTCACACTGCACATCCTCCTGCACCTCACCCCATGTCAGGCAGCCAGTTCACTACTGCCTTTCCAAGAGGGACTACAGTGACTTTGCTGTGGGATTCACTGATCTTCCCTTGGGATCTCCCCTGGCAATGTGCATCACCCCATTCGGGATCATCATCTTGGTGGTTTTCACATCATGGTGGAGACACCCCATGTCCCAGCCAGTGCTCTGATACCACATTCCCTCCTCCTGAGCCCCCATCCCCTTCATCCACCCCTACCCAGAGCAATCCAGGATGGGAACACCCAGCACCAGGACTGAGCTGCCCCAAAACGGAGTCAATGGGATCAGCTCCTGCACCAGGCACCGCAGCCGGGCATCAGAGAGCCCCAGCCTTGGACTGGGAGAAACACGGCCATGCACCAGCAGCACTGCCCATGGCAAAGATCAATGAGGCATGAATGAAGGAACGGCCCTAGGGATACACCATGGCTCACCCGAGCTGCTGCTGGGGACCACAGGCAGCGCTGGGAGATCATGGTCAATGCGCTGTCAATGGGAAAGCTGCCTGGAAAACCCTGTTCATGTGCTTTAAGGATGCACAAAAGCCTCAAACACTTTTTAAAGCTCAAAAATGCCATCTTGAGGCAGAAGCTGAGGATGTGTGAAGGTGCAGCACAGAACCATGGAACCATGGAACCAACCAGGCTGGAAAAGCCCTTTCAGCTCATCCAGTCCAACCAGTCCCAGCACTGCCAAGGCCACCACTAACCCATGGCACTGAGGCCTCATCTCCATGCTGTGTGAACACTTGCAGGGACGGTGCCTGCAGCCCTGCCCTGGGCAGCCTGTTCCAATGCCTGAGCACCCTCTGGGGCAGGAATTGTTCCTCAGCTCCATCTAAACCTGCCCTGGTGCAGCTTGAGGCCGGTTCCTCTTGTCCCATCCCTTGTTCCTTGGGAGCAGAGCCCAGCCCCTCCTGGCTCCATCCTCCTGTCAGGCAGTTGGAGGCAGCCATCAGGTCCCCCCTGAGCCTTCTCTTCTCCACACTGAACCCCCCAGGTCCCTCAGCCCTTCGCCATCACACTTGGGCTCCAGGCCCTGCACCAGCTCCAGTGCCTTTCTCTGGCCCTGTTCCAGCCCCTCAAAGTCTCACAGCAGGCAGGGTACGTGCTGCCCATACCCTGGACCATGAGTGATGCACAGAGCCCGTGCTCACTGCAGCAGGGTGGCAGCTTCACAGCCCCCCTCACACATCAGCTTCCAAGCACCTGCCTGTGCAATCCATGCCACCAGAGTCCCTCCATCCCAGTGTTAAAGTAGGTAACAAACACAGCAAGCAGCTGAAGCTCAACTCCAGCACCCATCAGACACCACAGCAGATACTCCTGGGCAGAACTGGTGATTCAAGCACCAAAACACCCATAAAAAACATCATTTCCCCCCAGACCTGCAGTACAATTGATGCTGTGGGCAGAGAGAGCTCCTGGGTGACCTCTCCTGCAGTCACTACACAGCAGTGGTGGCCATGGCCAAGCATCCATCCCGGTCCTCACAGAGTCCATCCATGCTCTGCTGCTGCTCCATGCCCTCTTTGGACATGTACCTACACAGAAGATAACTCAGAGCTGCCCAGCTCTTCCTGGGTGTTTTGAGTTCCCAGTGAGCACAGAACATCTCCAGGACAAGCAATGGAAGCAGGTGATGGAGAAGGTGATGGATCTTTAGGCACAAATCAGCCTCGAAGGACCAGCTGTGCTTGGAGCCAACCTGTCCATGCATGCTGTGATGAGCAGGGACCCCTTCCACTGGAGCAGCTTGCTCCAAGCCCCTGTGTCCAACCTGGCCTTGAGCACTGCCAGGGATGGGGCAGCCACAGCTTCTCTGGGCACCCTGTGCCAGCGCCTCAGCACCCTCACAGGGAAGAGCTTCTGCCTTATCTCCAACCTGAACTTCCCCTGTTTCAGTTTGAATCCATCACCCCTTGTCCTGGCGCTCCAGTCCCTGATGGAGAGTTCCTCTCCAGCATCCCTATAGGCCCCCTTCAGATACTGGAAGCTGCTCTGAGGTCTCCACGCAGCTTCTCTTCTCCAGGTTCAACAGCCCCAGTGCTCTCAGCCTGGCTCCATACAGGAGCTGCTCCAGCCTCTGATCACCTTCATGGCCTCCTCTGGACTTGCTCCAACAGCTCCAGGTCCTTCTTACATTGAGTTTCCCCTCTCTGCTGAAGGATGCTGAGGAAAACCAGGAGCTGAGGACAGCGAATTCCTCTAGAGGGAAACCTCCGCCTGCAGCAGCCTGAGGGGAGATGATCTTTGCTGCATTCAAACGCTGACTCACCCTCCTCCTCCTCCTCCTCCTCCTTCTCCTCTCCCATAGCCCAGCACGCAGCTCCACCAGCCAAAATAAATAGCTGGTACCTTTCTGCCCTCGTTTCTGGGTTTGGCAGCACTTCACAGGCGTGGTTTAGCCTCTCTGCATTGAAAACAGAGAGCAGAAATCTTGCTGAGCAACCCCCCGATGGAAAAGTCTATTGGAAACAGCTTGTTCAATGCAGGGGTTTTCCCCTATGGATCGCAGCCTGGATTCCAGGCTGAAAGCAAACGCCCTGCAGGCACAGGGCATGGTCCCCAGCCCTCACAGCCCGTCTGCAACAGGATGGGTTAAGCTGCACCATGGAGATAAAGGGAATGTGCTCAAGTGCCAAGGTTTGGGGAGGGCAAGGCTCAACTCCAGCAAGAATAGGCTGAGGTTAAGAGCTGCATCGAAGCTCAAGTGGAAAATCCCTCCTAGGAGGGCTGGAGCATAGAATTCCAGCCTGGTGTGGGTTGGAAAACACCTTGAGATCATCCAGTTCCACCCCCTGCCACAGGCAGGGGCACCCCACAATGAACCATGCCACTCACAACCTGCTTCTGGCACCATTTCCCTGTGGACCAGCACAAGGGGTGAGGTGGGAAACCAGCAGGATCAGGGCACTGGAGGCCCCAGGAGCAGCTTCAAAGCCTGGCAGGGATCAGGCATTTCCTCCCATCGGGTTGGTGGGGAAAGGGTTGGGATAGGCTATGGCAGCCCAGGATATTTTTGGACAGGGTGGGAAGGAGGCAGAGGATAAAAGCAAATGCTGCTGTTGAACAGGAATTCGGGAGGTGAAAGGAGTGGCTTTAGGTCTCTGTGCAGGAACTGCTTTGCGTTCCCCTTGGTCCTCACCTGCCCATCAACACAATTGCAATGGACCAGTCCTGCTTTAGAGATGTGGCCCCAAAACCACACGGATAAATACATAAATAGCAGAGATGGGAACTGGGAAGTGGGAGCCCAGGTAGGTCCAAACCCCAGAACCTGCTTTCCATAGGATCCCAGCCTGGTTTGGGTTGGAAGGGACCTTAAAGCTCCTCCAGCTCCAACCCCTGCCACAGGCAAGGACCCCTTCCACTGGAGCAGCTTGCTCCAAGCCCCTGTGTCCAACCTGGCCTTGAACACTGCCAGGGATGGGGCAGCCACAGCTTCTCTGGGCACCCTGTGCCAGCGCCTCAGCACCCTCACAGGGAAGAGCTTCTGCCTAAGAGCTCAGCTCAGTCTCCCCTCGGGCAGGTTCAAGCCATTCCCCTTGGCCTGTCCCTACAGGCCCTTGTCCCAAGCCCCTCTCCAGCTTTCCTGCAGCCCCTTTAGGCACTGGAGCTGCTCTAAGGTCTCCCCTTCAGGAGCCTTCTCTTCTCCAGGCTGCCCCAGCCCAGCTCTCTCAGCCTGTCAAGAGAAGGTTTTTAACCTGCGAACAGCACCAGTGCTGTTATTTGTACAGGAGAAAGCACCGTTTCTCCTATGGCCAAGCCTGAGCTGCAGCCTCCCTTTATCATCCCGATTCACCCTGCAGGGAGCGGGCCCTGTGGAGCTCTGATAACACTGGAGGAAACCCTGAAAACAGTGAAGCCAATTGTTTTAGCCTCAGCTGAACCTGCTGAGCTCCTTCCTCACACACAGCCCTGGACCACACAACCTGAAGAACAACAAACCCCAAAGAGCAAACACCATCTCCCTACCGCTTCCATTGCAGCCGGTATCAAAGCCTGGTGGCTTTAGCAAAGCACAACCTTTGGGACCTCCTTCCTTGTGCAGGCA